TCCCCATCATATGTATTAGATATCATCAAAAGCTTCGTGGCATTTTAGTAATTAGCCATATGTAATTAGTGAATTAAAGGAGAGAAAAAGGAATTGTTTCGGTAGATTATATTTGCCATAGAGATTGGCATTTGGTAGGACTTCTCCCGGAGGCTTGGTTGAAGGCGTTTGTTGAAGAAAATGTCTCTATAAATGATTTTCCCAAAATGAAAGTGATAGTTTCTAATGGGGCTCTAAATGTCAAGATTTGAGGGCAGAGAGAGGACTAATCCTTAAGGATTCTTCAAATAGCATAACTAAGTTGGAATTTTCTACCAATCAAATATCACTCTGGACAAAGGAAGAAAAACAAAACAAATTAAAAAAATTAAAAAAGTTGATATTGTCATGTAATTAATATACATAAATATAAATGTACGAAGTTTGATTCAATAAAGAAAGGAAGATTAATTAGAAATATCAGAGAAAGCACAAACAATCAACGAGGTGACACGTCTGAAAGTGTTACCTCGTTGACAGAACAGACATTGTTATCTGTAGAGGGTGTAGCTGATTCTGCAACAACTCGTCCAACAAAAAATGCAGGTTCTGTAGGTCTAGGAAGAGTTAAGTTCTCATTGCCCAACATGAGTATTACAGATGACATGGTGGGCCTGTCCACCGGATCTTTCTGCACACAAAGCAGACCAATATGGATGCACTTGAGCACTTCAAACTCCACAAATGACTGCACCAGTTGTGGGTCTATCAGCTGCATTCCTTGACCTTGAGACCATAGTTTCCATGCCTGCAATTTGATTTTGTATTAAGGTTAGGTTGTTTTATTTATCAATATTTGTTTGAAGAAAGAACGAAGGTTGGTTAGAAACTCACAAAGGTTAGAAGGCTTTCACAGCGTTCATAAAAGTAAAATCCATTGTTCTTCTTCCCGCTTATAATTTCTAGCAACATGACTCCAAAGCTAAACACATCAGATTTGACAGAAAAAAGTCCTTCCATAGCATATTCTGGAGCCATATATCCACTGTTGAATTTCTCAAGAGTGTAACTAAAATGTTTAACATTATAAACTACTTTGTTTGGATGACAAATAATAATAATAATAATATTTACTAGCCCAACTTATAAAAAATTAAGTAAAAAAATATTTTAAAATTATATCGTTTTAATAAAATTTAACGAGAAAAGACTAATAATAATAATAATATTTACTAGCCCAACTTATAAAAAATTAAGTAAAAAAATATTTTAAAATTATATCATTTTAATAAAGTTTAACGAGAAAAGACTAAAAATAATATCATTCTTACTTAAAAAAACAAATTATTTTAATATTTTTAATAAAAATTTATTAAAACAAATAATTTTAAAATATTTTTTCATCTAATTTTTATAAATCTAACTAATAAACATTTTTTTAATAATAATATTGCTTAATTTTTTACATGTCTAGATAATAAACATTTTTCCATAATAATAATACTCCAGTAATAATAAAACAACGTACTCTATTTGAATATATTGATTATTGGGATATTATCCTAAAAAGGGAAAGGAAAGGCAAGATGGTGGAATATTATGAGAACTTACTATGTTCCCACAACTCTGTTGGTGTTTGCTTCACTTTGGTTTACACTGAAAATCCTTGCCATACCAAAATCAGATATCTTTGGATTCATTTCACTATCCAACAAAATATTACTTACTTTAAGGTCCCTATGAATAATTCTGAGACGAGAATCCTCATGAAGATACATGATGCCTCGAGCAATTCCAGTGACGATGCTAAACCGTCTTTGCCAGTCCAATTGCACACTCATGCTAGAATCTGAGAATAACCAAAAATATAAAAATATCAGTTGGTAACAAGTCTGGCTTCCTTTTCATGTATGAAGCAGAAGTTCCATAGTTCAAGGATCAAACCAAAAAGGAAGACATCTAGACTTCTGTTGGGCATGTATTCATAAACCAACAATGTTTCGTTATCCTCAATGCAACATCCCAGGAGTCTTACAAGATTCTTATGTTGTAATCTAGCAATTAACATAACTTCATTTTTGAATTCTAGTAACCCTTGACCAGAAGTTCTAGAGAGCCTCTTAACCGCAATTTCTTTACCATTTGCCAGTGTACCCTGGAAAAGTTACGCAACAGGTAAGAATTTAAATAATAAAAGGCCAATTTACGTATAAAACATGTAATAATCACCTTGTATACGGGGCCAAATCCGCCTTCTCCGAGTTTATTTTCATCACAGAAATGTTTTGTTGCTGCATTTATAATATCTAACTGAATCGAAGGAAATTCTTGGGATCCTTCCACCCTCTCACCCTCAAAATCGTTATTTGCGTATTCATTCACAAAATTTCCTCCTCTCAAGTCAAGTAGTTGAACCTCTCGGCTGTCTTCTGCCAAAAACATAATTAAATTCACTAAACAAGATTAGGACATTACATTAATCTAGCCAAATCCACTGCTTACCTCGGGAATTTCTCTTTCTCCAGATGAAGAAAGCAAAAGAACTGAGCAGAGC